TTCAGCTCTTGTTTCCTGCAAAATTGCATCAGAAATGAGTATATGCATGAACTTAAGGGGTTTTGCAGCAAGGATAGATTCTGTATTTTTACAACTGAAAAGCTGAAAAACATGGTAACCTTAGGAAAAAAAATATATTTTCGTGGTTGGTTGGAGAATATTTTGACAGGCTTCTGCAAAAGAGCAGAGGAAGACATGAGAGGACAAAAATGATGCTAAAGTAGTAGGAAGATAGGCAGTCATTGGGAAGAACAGCATCTTCCCAGGTTTTATAGATGCTTCTTGTATCTCAAAGACGGACACCATTTGTCATCCTCATCTATTCTGGGACTGACACAGCAAATGTTTGAAGGATGTAAAGAAGAGCAAAAGGTGGTTTAAGGTGACACACGCAGTAGACATAGGCTTAGTGGGAACAAAACAGGAAAAGAAATTTTAAACTGAACACCAGGAGACTACTCAAGCCTTGAATTTTACTGGATAGCTAAGTATTCTCTAAGAGAGAAAGTGGAAACTCCATTTGCTGAGCTATTTACAACTACAGACATGAATTTATCAGAGAGAATACCCCGTACTTCTAGAGTTAGAAGACACGCCATAATTTAATAGCTCTCTTTTAACTCTAACTGAAGAACTGCCTATTACAACTAACAAGAACATCAACAATTGCTAAAGCTAACATAAGCATAGACACAAATCCTTGAATCACTTTCTCTCTTATTGTTCACATCTATTTTTCTGTCTCTCTCTAAGCATTACTGCCAAAGAATGAAGCAGCATGAAGTATAGGTATAACATCAATTAAAAAAAAAAACCTGATCATTTACCAGTTCTCAAAAAAAAAGGGTTAGGACAACCATTTATAAAAAGAGCAGTTTTGCTTATTGAACAAAACTTTTACAGAAATGGATGGGCACATTTTCATGTACAATCCTCATCCCACGTTACACCTGTATCCCACATGAAGGCTGTGCCTCATGGCTATTCCCACTAACACCAAAAGCACCCTTGGCTGAAGGGGCTAAGGCTCGCCCAGCCAATTCTGCCAACTAGCCCAGGAAGAACCCACAGCAGGACCAGGGACACCAAGCCCTGCCTGACATACCCCTGCCCAGTGCCATCACATGGCACCACCAGCCATGGGACTTGCCAGCCCCTACCAGGACTCCCTCTTTCCCCTGCTCTTCAAAGCTCCTCTGCATGCCTTTGTGTGCCCCTGCCTGTACCCATGTTGTCCATCTGCCCTGGCAACAAAGATTTTAGTGCCCAACAGGAAGGGCAGGAACCTCAGCTACTACTGACATACATGAATATGTTAATGGCCAAGGCAAAAAACCCAATGTTTTCTTAATAATTCCACTCATGACAATAACTTATTGACTTCCATTTGACATCCCAATCATTTTCTGGACAAAAATGCTTTTGAAATTAAGTTGAAAATGGACCTTATCTTCTATCTCCTCCCTTTTCCTCTACCACATTTCTAAATATTATAACATACTTGTCCAACTAGGTGAGCCTTTCCTATGTGACAGAATCAGATTATCAGATCTTTTAATCAGAAAAGAAACACATAATTAGTTTAGTCCTAAGTGCTAAAAATTATTGCCATATCGTTAAGAGGACAAGCTCTCTATTGCAGACACTAAGTACTCAGGCTATTAAGAATATTAATATTTTGCAGACCTGTGGAACTCTAAGTCTCTGACTCATTGTGCTTGGACACCTTACAGCAAAAACTTTTTCTCCTGTAAAGGCTCCGAAGGATGCACAATTAACTTAAGTCCATTCTTGACAGTCAAGTGCATCACAGCAGTTGTTGCTTCTCTCCCTCTTTCTCTGTAAAATCACAGAGAAAACATCAAAATCAGCATCAAAACAACTGTCATTCCAGAACTCAAGGACTATCAATTCAGTAGGTAGCAGGACAAGCAAGAGCAGGCTGTACACAAGTCATTTTATCTGTTTAACTACTCAGATATTTATTTTGATGTTTGGAGAGAAACCCTTCTCATTTTTCAAAATTCCCAATGCAGGTAGGTCTTCCTTTTTAAACTAAAGCGAGTGTTAGAATTGTGACCAACTGGTCATACTAACCCTCATTTTCCCCTCGTGTTCAACTTAAACTGATACCTTCATCAGACATGTAGGTTTACATGCTCACATAGGTTATATATTTTTGGAGGGACTTTTTCTGAAATCTTGAAGATCCTAAGCATAATTTCCTTTCCTGGGCCCTGGGCTTCTTTTGGACTCAATAATAAATTCCTCTTTATTGCTCAACAGTCATCACGAGCTCCTTTTCCTTCATCTACAGCCTCTAGAATAAAGACAATGATAAGAAGTTCTGGTGCAGCCAACTCTGCTCTTTACATAGGCCTAAAATCTTCTCTATCTCCTTGACATTAACAGTGGCTTTTTGAAACCGAATGTTCTGCACTGGAGGACAAATGAAGTACATCACCTCCTCCGCATTCCTCCTCTCAAACTAAATAATTGTCACATCTCTCTGGGTTTTGGGATAAAAGCACAAAATTTTAAAAGTCATCTCATCTCACCTTGAAGTCCCTTCCCAAACATAATTATAAATTTCTAAGCCAAACACCAGGGAGACTTTTTTTCTTACTTTAATTTACTGTGAGTCCCTCAACTTGGACCATGTTTGAAGGTACATTTTCTCCCCATTAGTTCTGCCTAGTCAAAGAAGCTCACGTAGCTATGACGCATCTCTTGCAGATAAGGGTATCCGCTGATTTGATTTACTAAGGAGGCTAAATTTATTATGCAACATTTTACAAGTATAATTCTGCTTTCTCTTGATGGTAATAAATTCGATATCAACTCCCCTGAGACAAGAGAACCAGTTCTTTTATTATCCAGACATGACCCCCAGAGCCAGATTCCATTTTAGAGACGGGAAATGACCATATCTCTGATTAAAAGGGAAACTTTAATCAAATAAAGTGCCTCATCAAGCGAGAGCCAAGATTCCAATACTCCTGACTACAGCACAGCAATGATCCAAAGTCATATCTGCCCCCAACCCATTACCACTTACTGCAAACGTGATATCCATCCCAAACAGAAGATGCATCCTTCAGCAGTTCCATTATCATCTGGGTAGCTGCTCCTCCTGTGCTCACAGTCCCATACAGAAATACGTTCTCAGGCAGACCCCAGGGTCTGCTTGAGGAATCAGATAAGGATGGCCTTTGTGATGTTTGGTTTGTTTTTTTTCTCAACTAAATCAACCTCACAGGTGACAAATACCTTGAACCATGCAGCCAAGTGCAGCAACCATGGCTTTCAGCTCGGGACCCTTCCAGTAAGACTCTTCTATTCCTTCTGATACCTTTCTTCTATACCTTGAATTTAGCTTTTGAAGCATTTAGGATAATAGCTTATTCAAGTCCTGGGTCAAGAGCTTTATCCCGATTTTCAGTGGTGTATTTCCATAGTTTTACAGCAGGTGTAATAAAGGAATAACAAATAATGATAACAATGACAGAATGGATGTCTAGGGGTACTGTTATTTTAACTGTGCTTTAAGGTTCCACTTCTGTGCAAGCACCATTGGATCTGTATGCCACTCCATGCAGAGATCCATTTTAAAGTCTTTCTGGCCATGTAGACAGTTTTCTTGCAACAAAGATACAAAAACTGACAGATAAATCATCTCCCTTTCAGCTGTGAAAGCCCAGCTACGCAAGCAAATGAAGGTGCCCGAACTCCACATCTACTCAGGAATTGCTTGGCTGAAAGATCCAGTTATTTCATACAGCCTTCTGCAGAGATCCTCCTTGGATCAGCCCACATGTCATTTCTGCTACAGGAATAATGATATGCTGCTTTATGGTACGAGTACCTTCTTAACACCAAAGCCTCTGCACCGAGTGAGGCCCCTTCCTCCACAGGGCTTCCAGCTGCCACACTGGCCCGGCAAAATACGGGCAGAACGCAACATCACCGCACTTGGGCATTATTTCCCTGGTGTTTGTCTCAGCGTTAGACACGCTCGCACGCAGGAAGATAGTTGCTCTCCTGCTTTCCAATGAAGCTTCCGTGGTCTCACACACCCCTGAGGAGGGGCAGGGCTCAGCCCAGCCCTGCCTAACCGCGTTCCCGATTAGCCCAAGTCCCCCCGGGCGCCCCTGTGCCCTGCCCTGGCCCGGCTGCGCCGTCGCGGGCGGAGCCGCACCGGGTGTTGGCGGCGAGCCCCGAGCAGCTCCCGGGTTAGACGGCGGCAGCCACCGGGTCCGAGTGGGCAGGGAGGCGCAGGGTGGTCGGGGAGGGGGCGGCTGTTCCAGGCGGCCCCGGCTCGGGGACAGGGGGTCTTTGCGGCTCGCACCGGACAGGGGCCCAGCCGGTAGTCGCCGACCTCCGCCGGCTGGTCGGGCTCCGGACCGCCCGCCGAGGCAGCGGCGGCACAGGGCCGAGAGCACCCGGGACCGCTGCCCGCAGCACCGGCGGGCGCACGTCGGAGCCAGCCCGCTGCCGCCCAGGCCCCGGGGGGAAGCGATGGAGAGAAGGCTCTGGGAGGTTGCAGGAGAGCCGGAGGCGCGTCCAGCGGCCCCCTGACACCCACGGCCATCCCCGCCGTCGGGCCGGCGAGAGTTACCGTCGGGCCCGCGCCTCGGGGGCGGTGCCGCCGCCCCCCCGTCCCCCCAGGCACACCCCCGGGGGGGAAGGTCCCGGCGGCACCCCGTCCCCGCAGGCCCCCGGCTGTGTCCGGCGCGGTGCAGCGGGGCGGGGCGCGGAGGGCGGGCGGCGGGGCCGGCGCGGTGGCGGGGGCGGGTGGGGTTTCCGTGCGCGGAGCTTATTAGTGTGGTGATGGAGGACCGGCCCCTCGGAGCCGCCTCGCAGCGGCGGCGCGGGCTGGCGGCGGCCGCCGGGAGGTGAGCGGCGGCGGCGGCGGAGGCGGCTCGGGCGGAGGAGGCGGCGGGGCCGCCCCCGCCGTGCCCCATGCGGGCGGCGGGGCGGCGGCGGCGGCGCTGAGGGCGATGTCGGAGGCGGGGGGCGCGGGCCGGGCGCGGGCCGCCGTGGAGCGGCTCTCGGAGGCGGTGGGCGAGCGGCGGCGGCAACTGGGCACCGCCATGGGGGAGGCGCGGCGGCAGCGGCGGCTGCTGCTGATGGTTGTGTGCGTGGCGCTGCTGCTGGACAACATGCTCTACATGGTCATCGTGCCCATCATCCCCGACTACATCGCGGCCATGCGTGGCGGCGGGGGCGCCGCCGGCCCGTCCGCGCCCGCGGGGGGCAACGGGAGCGGCGGCGGCAACCGGAGCCTCCTGCCGGCGCGGTACCCGCCGGCCACGGGGGGCAACGAGGACGTGCAGATCGGGGTGCTCTTCGCCTCCAAAGCCATGCTGCAGCTGCTGGTGAACCCCCTCAGCGGCACCCTCATCGACCGCGTGGGCTACGAGGTGCCGCTGCTGGCCGGGCTGGCCGTCATGTTCCTCTCCACCGCCACCTTCGCCTTTGCCGAGAACTACGCGACGCTGTTCGCGGCGCGCAGCCTGCAGGGGCTGGGATCGGCCTTCGCCGACACCGCCGGCATCGCCCTCATCGCCGACCGCTACGCCGAGGAGCCGGCGCGGAGCCGCGCCCTGGGCACGGCGCTGGCCTGCATCTCCTTCGGCAGCCTGGCCGCACCCCCCTTCGGCGGCGTCCTCTACGAGTTCGCCGGCAAGCGGGTGCCCTTCCTGGTGCTGGCCTGCGTCTGCCTCCTCGACGGGCTGCTGCTACTGGCCCTGGCACCGCCCGGCGCCACCGGGGCACGGGCCAACATGCCTGTCGGCACCCCCATCCACCGCCTCATGGTCGACCCCTACATCGCCGTGGTGGCAGGGGCCCTGGCCACCTGCAACATTCCCCTGGCCTTCTTGGAGCCCACCATCGCCAACTGGATGAAGGATTCCATGGGGGCCAGCGAGTGGGAGGTGGGCCTCACCTGGCTGCCCGCCTTCTTCCCCCACGTGCTGGGCGTCTACGTCACCGTCCGGCTGGCTGCTGCGTACCCCCACCTTCAGTGGTTCTACGGGGCCCTGGGCATGGCCATCATCGGCGCCAGCTCCTGCTTGGTGCCAGCCTGCAGGAATTTCGGGCAGGTCATCATTCCCCTCTGTGGCATCTGCTTCGGCATCGCCCTGGTGGACACAGCCCTGCTGCCCACCCTGGCTTTCCTGGTGGACGTGCGCCACGTCTCTGTCTACGGCAGCGTCTACGCCATTGCAGACATCTCCTACTCAGTGGCGTACGCCCTGGGGCCCATCGTGGCTGGCCAGATTGTGCACACCATGGGCTTTGCACAGCTCAACCTGGGCATGGGGCTCGCCAATGTGCTTTATGCCCCTGTCCTCCTCTTTCTCAAAAACGTCTGCCAAATGAAACCCTCTCACTCTGAGAGGAACATCCTCCTTGAGGAAGGACCTAAGGGACTCTATGACACCATCAAAATGGAGGAGCGCAAAGGCACAGGCAAAAGCCTGAAGCTAGTGGGTGAGATGGATGAGAATGGCATGGACTCATACCACAGGGACCTGAAAGGGGTGTCTGAGGAGGACTCATCGGACTATGAGTACAGTTAGATTTCCCCCATGCAGCCCAGCCCCATGAGCAAGGAAGGACATGTGGAGGAGAGAGAGGGAAAGGGGGGGATGACAGTGTTACTGCATTATGTTTCTGTACTGATGTGCAATATATACAGTTTAACCTTTGTCATGATGTAATGGCTTTCTTCTAGATTTATTTTTAATTGGTATTTCTTTCAGCATTCTGGCAAAGTGGAGGGGATGGGGAATAGGGGGACAATACTGAAGAAAGTTATCGGAGTAATCATTGCCATAAATCTGAGGGGATCCTTCCAAAAAACCCGCCAAAAAGAAAACAAAAAACTCATCAGCCTTTTAGCTGGGGTATAATTGTGCAGAGTGTCCTCAAGCTGAAACTGTGTGTGACATATTGTATATCTCTGTAAAAAATACAAGAAAAGCAAAAAAAGTATGTGTAAAATTTCAAATGGCTTATTCAGGGACTTAAGAAATCTTGTGTACATATACTCAGACTTTCAGTTGGTTTCATATATTTAAGAGCAACAACTGTCACACTGTCACATTTTATTCTTCCTTGAGAATAAACTGAAGTATTGTACTTTTTTTTCTCTCTTGTGCTGCTCTCCAGTAAGTGCAATATGCTGTATTATGTTGAAGTCCAAATTACAAGAATAATACAATCTGAATAAATGGAATTGAAGGGGATCGATTGTCTTTTGTTTTGTTGTTGAGGGCTGTTTGAGGGAGGGAGCTGGTTGTGCTCGTTGTAACCCCTGTGGTAACAATTCCCCATAGCAGTATCTATCTCAGCAGCTACCAAAATTGCACAGGAGAAGACCCCAATACAAAATGTTCTCATTCATTTTTCGCAACATATCAGGTCTGAGCAAACAACACTGCACTGCAAACACGCTACCGATTGCCTAAAAACAGCTCCTTGTATTCTTATGCGAATTTAATTTAATGCCCACAATGATGAATTTCAATTTTCGAGTATTTAAAAAAATTACATGACCAGCAGTTAAGAGACACAATACTAGAAAATGCCTTTCGTGGTGTTAATGCTGCCCCAATTGCAACGTGTCTGCCTGGGTTGACAGGGATTAAACAAAACAAAAGATGGGTGAAGTATTTCATTCAAACATTTGCAAAAAGTGGAAACCTTTGATCTAACCACAACGCAACCAGACTGCATAGTTTTCCCTGCAAATTTCTGTTGATATGAAATAAAATCGTTTATTTTAATTCCTAGCTTATTAGGAAACAAAATACATTACTTGTAATCTCAAGAGAGAAAGAAAAAATTTACAAACGACCACAGCGCCTGCTTAAGGGCTCCCACCCGTCCCTGGGGATCCGGGCGCCGCGAGGGACCCGCGGACTCACGGCCGGTGGGTTCCTCTGGGCTGCGCGGGACGCGCGGCCCCGCAGCTCCTGCCGGAGCGGGCGAGTCGCTGCTTACGCGGCGCAAAACTCATGAAAACAGTACGACGGCTCTTTGGCAGCGGGGTTTGGCGAAGGAGCGATGGCCTCCGCGGTGGGAGGTGAGCCTCGCTTCCCTAAACCGCAGCCGCTTCTTTGCGGTAAGCGGCCACAGCGGTGCCGCCTCCGGTCCGCCGCCCGCGCTCCCGCTGCTGCTGCCGGCCCCGGGGCAGCTCCCGCAGAGCCCAGACCCCTCCCGGCACCGCTGCCGCCCCGTCGCAGCTTCCACCCCTCCCGGCCCTGGTGCCGGCAGCCCACCGGCAGTGCCGCCCGCCCCTGTGCGGCCGCGGAGCCTTCAGGAGCCGCAGATGCCCCGCGGCGACACTGCTCGGCAATTGCGACAACCCCCGTGGCAACGCGGGTCAGCGAGCGCAGTGACCCCGCGCAGTCCCCTCGCGGACCCCTTTTCCCCGCTGCACAGGGAGTCTCTCGGCTGACCCCGACGGCGGTGAGAGCACGGGCGAGCCCGGCCCTGCCCGGTTTCCCCCACCCCCCTCACGGGACACGGCGGGCACGGGGCGAGCTGGCGCCGGTGCAACCGGCGGGCACAGCCTCCCGCACGGGCGGAACAGGCGCGGGGGCAGCGCAGGCACCAACGCCTGTTGCGCGCAGCGGGAGGGGCGGGTAGGGCAGGGCAGGGCAGGGCAGGGCAGGGCAGGGCAGGGCCGGGCGGCGCGGGGCGGGGAGGAGCCAGGCAGCCGCGGAGACGAGCCGCCCTCCGCACGCCCCCGCCCAGAGGGGACCTGGCCGAGGAGGAGGCGGCGGTACCTTGGACAGAGCCACCGCGACTCGAGAGCCCGCCCGGCAGCCGCTCCGGAGCGCCCCGACGAGCAGGTACGGGCGGGCGGGCTGCGCGCCCCGCGCCTCCCGCTGCCCCGACGGCGCGGATGCAGGCGCCGGGAGAGCCAGGGGCTTGGGAGCGGGGAAAGGGGGCGGCGGGTCCCCCGGAGCGGAGCCGAGCGGGCTCCCCTTGCCGAACTCCGCGGCTCTGGCGGCACCCACGGGGCCGCTTCGTTGCCGCCGCCCGCGTGTCCCGCCGCGACGGGCGGTTTGGGAGGGAAGGGGCGCCCCCGGGACTAAGGCTCGGGAAGGGCTCGGGACGCGCCGGCAACCTCCGGCGGAGCGTGGGCACTCCCCGCCGGGTCCAGCGCTGCTCGCGGGGAGCTCACGGCCAGCGACAGGGCGGTTCCTGGCTCCTCTCGCAATGTCAGCGGCTGCAGCAGCGCGCGCTTCACAGTTGTATTCCTGATAACGCAGACATCCCTCTCAACTGTAAGCAGAGATTCCTGGGAACTTGAAGCTTATTCTCCTGATAACACTGAGAGTGAGGATGACTAGATAGACGGGGGCTGAGTGTATTGCCCAACAATACTGTATACTGCAAGCTGCCTCCCGAGTCCACAATGTATGGAGAACTCAACTATAAGCACATGGGCTTATTTCAGTCCTCCTCTGCTATCTGCTAGCAGAGAGATCAGTGCCTTTTGTTGTGGATTTGAGTTGCTGCTTTGAGCTGTGGGGAAGGCCACCCGCTCCTCAACCTGCTGTGACTCGCAGCCCCCCTGCTAAGCCTCTCACTCCAGCCCTCCAGCTAAGCCAGCTGTAAATAAAAACAGCTAGGATTATTTTATATTTTTTTGCCTAATAACTTTGACAATGTGCCTCACAGCCTTCTAGTGAGCAACTTTGAAGTTATCTTGAATTTCTGCAGGATTTTCTCCTGTGTCAGTTTTCTTGTCCTTTATTAGGCAAATACAGGATTGTGTGTGATGTTAAGCTGTCACCACTTGAACCAGAGACAAAGCCTCCGTTCATCCCCATGCCAGAGAAAAGCACAGTTCAGGCTACCACCTCCAAACTCCTTATCACACTGTTTTTACAGATATGTGGATCGGGTCTGTTGGTAGTAGCATTTCCCACAGATACAGTACAGATTTGTAGCGGGTGTGACGCCATATTGCAGTTTGACAAAAAACATAAGGAAAGAAAGAACAAAAGTCCCAGTGAGAAGAATACCTGCAGGATTTTCCCTTTAAGGGAGTACAGTTTTAGGGGCTCTAAAGACAAAATGGCTGCTCTGTATTTGAACACAGGTGGGGAGCCAGTGTATAGACAACTGGACAAGCCACAGTCTTCCAAGAGTTACAGGACACGACCATTATTTGAAGTGCTTTGACCCTGTGTTGCTAGGAATAGAGTGCAGGGCTAAGTGAGACCAGTGCAGCACACGAGAGGGAGCAAAGCAGCACAGTGCATTAATGTGGCCTCTCCATGAGGGAAATCATCTCTCACCTGGGTTGAAATTGTGAGCAGATGACAGATCAACACGAGTTTGCTGTGTGGCTCATTGCAGGGCCCCGGGGACATCTCTCAACCTTATACAACCTATTTCACAGCACATGGCTCCACTGAAAGCCATTGCAGGACAGGATCGACACCAGGTGTCAGCGACCACATACACATTGGCAGAGCTGGAATAGCCAAGCCAATCCTCAGGAGAGGAATAATGCACAGCCATCTCTGCCCATTGCTAAGCAGAACTCTTCATCTCACTTTCTTACACTGTAGGATTTTTAACCAAATTGTTCTTCAAAGCTGTTTTAGAAATATCTCAAGTGTCCTGAATGTATAGTCCCAAAGATTACAGAAAGGAAAGTATTTTCTACATAATCAACACGTGTTGTCTTTCATATTTCACATACACACAGTGGAAAGTAATTAAATAAATCCAAAAAACCTGTAATCCATCAAGATCTGACTGAACACAAAGAACTTGCTCTGCTTTAGCTACATTTAAGTACTATCATAATTGAATGACAATTGCTTGGTGTGGGCACTCTTATGTCAGAAGAAATAAGTGTGTCCTATAGCTTATTTTTGTATAGAAAAGCAGTAAGATGCATCTTTAGAAAACAAAACCAGGATAAGCACAATACCACAGAGACACCAGTGGAAGTATTTGCTCTGTCACAGATTACTTTTGTGACTTTTGGCAGGTTAAGCCATCTCCCTGGATAGTTACATGCTATTTGAGAAGACTGCTGTATGAAGCACAGTGTATGCCACTGCTGCCAGTCCTCTCACAGCCAGCCTGCCAGCTTAGGCAGGCTCATGGGGTCCCCCAGCCCACATCTTCGCCCCAAAGCACTGGCACCCACTGAGCTTCTAGGTTGCAGGGGGGAAAAGGCACATCTCCATCAAGCTTCTTTCTACAGCTTTTACATCTTCTAGCACAGCAGCTCACTGTATCCATGGAACCATGCAGTGACAAATACATTTAAAGACTGTGGTACTTTCCTATAAAATGGTAGATAGAAAAATGCAGCCTTGCTATTACCTGTGTCAACATAAGTACATTCAAAGAAAAGTCACTTCTTTCCTCCAGCTAACATATAACAGTCATACAACAGTGCACGGATCACGCCACAATAAATTGCAAAGTAAATTACAGTGACAAAATAAACCATGCTGAGAAGGCACCTTTTATGAGCATCAGATAGTTCTGAATATATAAATTTATAGCAAAATGAGACAAACAATGTCAGAGCAATCTCCACAGGGCTCAGTTTAGCTACTTTTGACTGTTGTACTTCTATTTCTCTTCAGTTTTGCATTCTGAAGCTTCTGCGTATGCTTGCGCAGGGAATACTCCCCTCATACATTTTGGTTATAAATAATGGGTACTGACAGGACTTTAAATCTTTTCTATTTCCAGAACTGAGGCGTGAGGCTCCATAAGTGCCCCCAAGTGGCTTCAATTTCTGCCCTCAACAAAAGATACCAAAAGAAATGCAGAAATGCCTGACCTAGAAAAAAACACGCAGAAGACAGAGAAAGATACATGCAGTAAAGATGAGACAGTAAGTGACTGTTTCGGGAAAACAAAAAGAAGAGACTTAACAACTTTTAATACTGTAAATTAACGTGAATTGATACAATAATTGTAACCTAAGCTCTGTTCCAGAGCCTGTTTCTTCATTTCAGGGAACACTTCTCATATCCAAATACACTCTTTCTCCCAACATCCTATGAAGAATTCCAGTAAGTGAAATATTATTATACAACAGCAGATGCATTGCTATCAAGTCAGGGATGGCATGTAATTATTTTTTAATAGTACAGAACTATCAAACTATCACATATAATTCATTTTAAAGCTGCTTTAGGAGATGCCAGATGTGTATGCCTGTAAGAAGTCAACCCCTTGAGTTTAAAGCTTTTTTCCAAGCAGAGTCATGAACTGTTCAGTAACCTTATCCAGAAAGATAAGGCTGAAGCTAGGTATCAAAAAGAAATACTGTTTAGCACATCTGTTTCCATTGACCAAGAAATCAATGACAGAAGAAACATGTCTTGACTAAACATAGCTTGAAACTGTAGAATTGCCATTCTCTTATTTCTGAGATCCAGGGTGCATTACAGGCTAAATTGGATTTGCATTTCCATTAATAACAGGAAATCCTATGACACTTCTTACAAGTATCTAAAATCTTCAGTTTCTAGATAGGGAAGCGTAATGCAGCACTGACTTTTCTGTGGATGTCAAAAGGCAGAGCTGGTATTTGAGCTCAGAGGACAGTGAGTCCCTGTCCACTGTTCAGACCATTTTCTCCACCCCCTCCCTCCCTGCATGCACTAGCAGAGAAGTCTGCAGCTAGATTTGCTCTAAGCAGCAGGTGGAACAAGGTGACTTCTAGTCCTTTCTTCCAACCAAAATGACACTCTGGTCCTGCAATCCTGTGAAAATCAATGTCTATTACACCAAGATATAGTAAAAAAAAAAAAAAGGTGAAATTTGCCTACTTTAGCAGATAGGCAAAAATCTAATTAGAAAAATAAACCCTCCAAAAGTTTATGGCCTACACCAATCACTAATGGCCAAGCATAGCTGCATTAGATGCTCGTTTCTCAAGTGGGAGACACAGCCACCTCCCCGAGGAGCCATGCTTAGAGCATCACAGCCTTTTGCAATTTCCCGGTCTTTTATGAGTTATCTCCTTGTTTGATTTTCCCACTGCCTCCATATCTGCTCTGGCTTTTAAATTACTAATTACACTTCACTTGGTTAGTTCTACATTAAAAAACAAAGGAAGCTTAATTGCATGAGTAGCATGAGATTCTTTTCTTCCCAGATACTATTGCTCCAAAACAGGATGAGGATAAAGCAAGTACAAACAGAAATGCTTTATCAAGCCATCTAGGGGGGTTCCAGACAGACTGATAGCAAAGGTTTGCCAGGGTAAAACATGGGTTTATTGAGGACTGTACATAGTCAGTACTAATAAACAGGAAGACCAGTGTGTTTTCTATTTCTATAGTTTTTAACCACTCATTTTATCAATCAGACAAGTATTAACCCATGGTTTTACTAATCACAAGCTAAATGTACTTCTTTACTAATGAAATACCTTTTATTCAGGCATTATATTACTATGCTGTCATGTATTTGCAGATTTCCTAGAACCTAGCTGAGACTATATGCTTGCACCATGACTCGTCATCCTAGGATTTCTAGAATTTTTAACAAGGAATATTCTCCTTAGTAGTTTTCCACTACTCCCCTAGTCTATCCATTTGAAAGCTTTCAAATAGAGTTACTGGAGAGTACATTTGCAGTAATCAGGCCTT